TTGCTCTCATGGAACTTACATTCTAATTGAGGCTCTCGTTTCCTTGCTTCTCTCAACCCTTGCCATCTTCATTTGCATGGTTCAGAGACCGAGATGACAGAGTGGTTAAAATTAGAATGCCAACTCTGATCAGCTAGAGTAAGCAGTGTGGAGTGCTGTGGGTATCCATTCTTCAGCTTAAAGGGGAAATGTTTTGGGATCGATTAGTGATGTCTGTTGTGGTGTGGGATTGAAAAGTGGTGCCAGTGTTCCATTGATATGCCCATTGAGCCTTTCCTTGCATTCCAAATCCTGGAATTAAAACTCACAATTTGAATCCTGATGTCCTTGTTGGGCCTGTGAATCCATGTCTTGGGGGGCGGGGAGGAGTAGGGAAGAGTGTGAGTCCACAGCTCTGAGGAAGATGAGTTGTCAGAGCTGGCAGACCTAAGTGCCAAAGGAGGACAGAAATGGACATGAGATAGAGAAGTAAGATTGCAGCTGGGACCTGACGGGCATGGCTGACAGATGGAAACAGAGTTTGCCAGATAATGAGGGAAATTTGGCAGTGAGAAAAACCGAGTGACAAGTGATAACCTAGCCTACCAATGGCATCATTCCAAAACAGACTCTGTTCCCACTTCCTAGCTGGGAATGTCTTCCTCATTGATAGATGTTCTGCTGATCCTGAGTTGACAGATAAGGTGCGTAAGATGGACCTGGGAGGTAGGGACAGAAGCAGGTTGCCCACCTTTTGTCTGAAACAAGTGCCTTAGACCTTATCATCAAAACTCAGGGGTTTCCAGGACCAGCAGTTGGCATAATGGCTATGTCACTGAACTCCCATGTAGCTGACCACTGTTCGAGTCCCAGATCCAGTGGCTTAAACTCATGCGGGGCACGTGTGTGTGTGCATGCCCAAGATTCCAAGAGGAGAATGGAGGAGAAGGGATTGTGGTGTGGCGATCCCCCTTGGGGAGTGATTTCTGGCTTTCTGTCTCTCTGTCTTTCTGGCAAGCTCATGTTCCCTATAGCAAAAACCTCTCAAAAGAACCCAAAACCCAAAACAACAACAACAACAAAAAAAACCCAGGGGGTTCCAATTATACATGCTCGTGTAAGTTTTTAATTTAATTTTATTTAAGTTTATTCATTTTATTTCTAGAGATAAGGTGTAACCTCAGTGGGATCTCATGCCATGATCCCCTTCCCCCAGTCCTCTGGCCACTCAGGATCTTGGTTGCTTGTGCCCAGTGTGTTTGAGGTTGACTCAGGATATGAATCTGCAGTTGGCCACATGGCTCCAGCACGGCGGATCAGCACACTAGTGTCTGCGCTACCAGGCTGGGCCCATGTGGGTTTTTAATACTCATGCAAAGGGGCAGGTGTTCTTATAGCTAGAAGGGAACTTAGAGCACATCTTCTTCAGGACTTCTCAACCTTGGTACAATTAACATCTTGACTGAAGTACCTCTCTGTTGTTGGGGCACACAGTATGTGTTGTGTAGGCTGTTCTGTATCCATAGATGCTAGGAGTACCACCTGCTCCCTCACGTTACTACCACCGAAATATTCCCAGATGCTGCCAAATGTGCCACAGGCTGCAAGGGCATCCCTGGTTGAAAACCACTGACTTGCTTCTTCTCAACCTGGGATAAAGAAACTCATCCAGAAAGGTGACTGCCCAAGGAACGTTTGGCTTATTCTTGTACTCTACACACAAAGAAAGGGTCTTTCTTGGTTTTTTTTGTTTTTTTTTTTTAAGAGAGAGATTTTTGCTTTAGGGTATGTGCACACACTGGAGAGACAGACAAAAAGACAGAAAGTGAGAAATCACCCCCAGGGGGCTTGGCCTCACCACAATCCTTTCTTCTCCATTCTCCTCTCCAGATTTTGGGCATACATGCACACATGCCCACTGTGAGTTTCAACCCTCCAGTTCTGGGACTTGAACTGCAGTCGGCCATGTGGGAGTCCGGCAGTGTAACCACTATGTCATCTGCTGGTCCCCCAAAAAAGGATCTTCTTATAAATATGCAATGAGTGTGATCACATGGCTGACAGTACAGCCACAAAAAAACTTTCAGTTAGCCTCCAATATGTTTATTTAGAAGGTGGCTCTGCTCCTGTCCTCTCTCCTAGGGGTGCTGGGTCTGGGGTTTTCCACAGTGTGGCTTCCTACTCAGACCTTCCTGGGATCTGGTTTAGAACAAAATGTCCCAGGCTGTAGAGATGTACTGCCACCCTCAGCTCCCACAGCAGTGCTGCCAACTAGAATGTCAGATTTCAGAGGTCTTCACGTTGAAGGGGAATGAGGGACCTACATTTCATCCGGATGAGAAGAACTCCAAGGTTGGTGGCCGATGAGCCATCTCAGGGTCAGATAAGGTGACTGTTAAGAAATGCGGTGGGCTGTCCATCTCACCAATAAACCTTATTTTCCTTTTTCTTAAAGAAAAGAACATCCCACTGTTAATTTGTTAGAAGCCAGAGTTGCCCGTGGCATTACAGTGGCACAGGGAATAGCATTACATTCCTATTATCCTCCTAATGCAGGCATCAAGACCTGCTCCCGCTATGCGATTTCACATTTCCAGCTAAAAAGCAAGCAATTTCAAAGGCATTTTGCTGGCCCTGAACATTTTTTAATGATGTGTGTTCTTTCTTGACTTCACTTATAATATCACTCCTATCAAGTGAGCCTAAGTCTCTGTGATTACTGAAATAGTGAAAAGAGATGGCTAAATTTAGATTTTAGCAGGCTGTGGGGTGGTGGGTAATGCAGAGAGCAGAGGCTTCAGAAGAAAAGAACAGTTTACAGGTGCCTGGCAATTTATTAAAACTGAAGTCTCTAACTCAGTGAGAATGGGGGTGGGGCTCTATTGGTCAATGAAATCCATCTGACCCAGATCTCAGCACTTTGGAGAACTTCTGGAGGAAGCGGCCTCAAACTTTGGGAAGAAAACTGAAGAAGCAAGTTTGTCCATCTTTAGTTTGTTTTCGGCTTGGTGACGTTACACGTTGTTTCTGAAGGAAACGCGAAGCTGTCGGGCCTGAGACACTTGGTGCTGTGATGTGTTAGACACAGAGCGTCTCTGCCTGAAGGTGATGCTCTTGCCTGCAGGTGTACTACAGGGTGAGCTCATGCTGACTCATTGCCTAAGAGGTTGATGGTCAATCACAGTGATCATGAGAAATTGAACTCAAACAGCCTGGAACCAGGAGTCGATGAGATGGTACTGAGACGGAATATGGGGCATGGGAGTTTGGTTTATGTTTTCAGTGGTCACAATTGTGTGCATGGAGACAAGCACTGATATCTCCACTCCAGAAGAATTCATGCCAAGGAGTCCAGGTACCCATGGGGGCTGAACAGGGCTCCCTCTACTTCTGACCAAACCAGAGACACTGACATTCATTGGTTCCTGTTTGCTTGGACACATAAAACCATCCCATTTCTACAACTCTGTTCTTGATGTACAAAGACCACAAACACATATTCAGTTCTTTTTTTAAAAAATTTTTCTTTCTTTCCCTTTTTTCCCCCTTAGGCTATAGGGCATGTGTGCTTGCTGAAGAGACAGAGAGAGAGAGAGAGTAAGAAATCACTCCCCCTGGCAGGGATGTCCACACCGCATTCCCCTCTCCTCCATTTTCCTCCTGAGATTTTGGGCACACACATACCCATGCTCCCAGCATAATTTTCAAACCACCAGAGTCCAGGACTCAAACCATGGCTGGCCATGTGGGAATCCAATGCCTTAACCACTATGCCACCTGCTGGTCTCAGTTCTCTACCTTTTTGAAAGATTATCTCTTTCATGAGTGAGAGAGATACATAGAGACAGAGACAGAGAGACAGTACCTTTAACAGGGTCTCCATGCCACAACCCCACCCCCCGCACTTACAGTCAGTCCAAGATCAGGAGCACTTGCATGCCCATTGTACTCAGGAAGGTCTCTGGACATGAATGAGCCTAGAACTTTCCCATGAAGATCTGCCCTGCATAGTGTCTTACTGCCATGCCACCATCTGGTCCCTCTCCAGTCACTTTCTGAGTGCCAGGCTTGACACTAGTCTCAGT